ACAAAAGTGAAAGTTCATATTGCACCCGATTTCCTTTGATTAGAAAAAATGCTTTTATATTGTCTTGATTTTTGTACGTAAGAAATTTTACCTTTATGTTTTGTTGCTAAAGAGATGTATATATTTAATTTCTTAATTTATCACACTCATATTTATTATTTTCTTTTATTGATTAATATCAAAATCAATAATAACTACAATAACATTGCTTAATAATAAAGTTTTGGTTTAAAGTAATGCTCAAACCCTAAAGTGATAAATAAAAAATAAAGGTGTGGGAATAGTCGATCTAATCAACCAGTAGTTTCTAATTGAATACAGATAGTTTATTAAAGGTGATTGAGACGATAGGTAAATGTTCCAATTGCGTCACAATGTTTTCCGGACCCATAAAATGCCCCAATATATTTGTTCAAACAGTTTTTTCAATATAAATTAAAATGAATTTTTTACTAAAATGTCTTGGTGGCTATAAGATATAGCCTCCAAGACATAAGATATTTTTTTAGGTAAGGATATTATATCCAAGAAATAAGTCTTGGATATAGAATATTAAATAATTAAAATTAGTTGTTTGCTTAACTCAGGTTTGCAGAACAATAAGGTCATTAAATATTTTTCTGAGTTCAGTTTCACTTATGATAGTAATAGGGTCTCCAGATAATTAATTAACGTACTGTTTATATATTTTCTCAATGTCGCTTTACAATGTACGAGTTTTGCTTAATTATATTATATTTTAAGTAATTATAATCAAATTAAAGTACTTAAATTTAATGTCTAGAAAAGTTCATTTAACATATGTATATGGTAAAATTTTGACACCGTGTGGCAAGTGCAACTAAATCAATTCTACTCGAAGAAGAAATACATTGATGTAACAATAAGATGATGTAGTGTACTTCGATTATCGATAAGGTAGCAGATACGATATAGAAGGTGGTGTGCAACCGATACGCATCAATGGCAAGTATGAATTCATGTTGTGAAAGCTATCACGAGACTAATGCTGAACTGTGTTCAATATTTAGATTGTTATATAGATGATAAATAATAATATACCATAACAACAACATCTTTTTCGGAGTAACTATTAGTAATGGTTATGTTAAAAAATCGGTAAAGAGTTTATTATCGGTTTGTGTAGATGTGCGTATTCTAAATGTTTTATAGACTATCATATTGGTTATCATAATCACTCTCCTTTATCCCTAGTTCTCTTTTATAATGAATTATAAAATACAAAGAGCTAAAATATTTGCTTCTGGATGTCGAATGAAATAATAAAGTAGTAGACAGTTCGTCTAAGCAGTAATAAAATTATAGTTATTAAAATTATATATACGCCTACCTTTTTTGGCGGTTAATCGTTGAGATCCATTAAAAAAATTATTATTATTATGATGGAACTGTTTTTTTTATATTTTTTTTCTAAACTATAAAGTTCAAAGATTGCAAAACAAACACAGTTTCTGATATGAAGTACTTGGTGACGCATAGCAGAAATAGATAAAAACATTAATTTTTCTTTGAAATATTAGTTGTTGGGTTTTTTTTTTAATTTTGAAAAAATGTTTTTAATTTTTACCCAATCAAATAAATGCTAATGAGAATTAGATATAAAGATTAGTGTTGGTAGTAATCTTAATCTAATAAAAATGTCAATATTTGAGTTTTTGAATTAGAAATATGTATAAACTATTTAACATGGAAATATTTAATATCGTGAGATTTTTTAAATTTATTTATCGACAAATTAATATGAGAAAAAAATTTTTTTTGGATTTATATTAAATTCTCGATAAATTACGATTTTAAGTATATTACGTCTTTAAAATATCAAGTCTGTCTCATATTAATATTATTCATTAATCTTGTTTAAAAATTAGTCATTTAAGTCAAAATAGCTAAATTTAAATACTATTGTATTAGCGCCTTTATACATATTAATATACTTAACAATATATTTAGAAGAAAGCATTATATATACACACACATAAATATATATAATATATAGGAATGATTCTTGCATACATTGTAGAAAGAATAGAGAAATAGAGAATGTATTGGAAAAATAACTTTTCAAAGTTCATAATCAGATATGCAGAACAATATTATGTTTGTCTTATTTTACTTACTTAAAGGGCGCCTACAAAATCCACATTGATAATAGTACGTTTGTACTGGCTTCGATAGACTAATTAACTTACTTAAGATTCAAGTAATTCAAGCAATCTCAAGTAAGTTAACTGGGCTAAGTTCAAATTACTTTACAGTACATTTACACTGTCGTAATTAATTCGACCAATGTGTGGCTAGAAAAATGTGTGCTATTTTCTTTCCAAAATCCATACAAAAATGTGTCAATCTATTTCGTTAATTGTAAATGTAAGCATATTCTTTTACATAATATTATATATAATTATATCTAAGTTAAAAGCTACGAAAAGTATTATGTATAAGGCAGCTATCACAATAACAAGACAATTTCATAAAAAATGTTAACAATAACGACAGGGTTGCGGTTTTTTTATACGACCTATAAGATAAGTGCACTTCAACAGATCTGTGGCTGTGGATGTGGAATAAATATCAATAAATATCACAACTTGCAGATTAAAAAACTAACATCTGTAGTGATGATAGTAACTGCATTTGCAGTAAAACTGTAAAAGTAACTAATTACTTTACATGAATATTAAAAAATTTGTAAAATATAATATGTAGCTCAAATTTTTATCCAAAAAAATAGCTCAATGTTCTCAAAAAAAAAAAAAACAAAAATGCTAATCGAAAATAAAAAACACACCAAAATATTGCTTGTTTTCATTACAGTTTTATGTTAATAAGAAATAAAAGATCCAATTTAATGTTTTTATTAACAAAATAAATTAGAAGCAATAATTAAAAAACGTATGTGGTTTGATTTTGGGATATACCCAAATGACCACAAATGTAAATCACACGCAGCACTCAAGAGCTCTCTGACGTAGTACTCTCTTATTATTGCATGTGTTGACACTTTTTAAGTTGTTACATGTTTATAATATTTTTGAATCACATGATATACAGAATCACATAATATATATTGGAATACATTTCATCAACCCAGTTCGGATGTGTAAAATATTTACATAAATGTACATACCCTCTCCCGGTCTTATCCGCATACATATACCTATAGTAAATATATTTGTTTTTATTTTTAAGAAACTTTTTATTGGAATAGAGATATAAGTTACGTTTCGAAACTATAGGAAGTGCCGTTGTTGCAATAAAATGCAAATAATATTATGTAAAGGTAAGGTGAAAATATGTGCTAGTAAAACAATGCAAAACACAACTTATCCCAGTGATTAACTAGAGCATCCACATCAGAAAAGCAAATACTAATCTCAACAAGAGATGCCCATAAACTTATCCAAATTCATTTTCTAAGAGTGGTGGTTATAAATGAAAAACTACGATAGGCTGCACAAAATTCAAACTGTTATTGTGAAAATATAGTTTACCGAATATGAAAATCCTACTGGGCAGATACATTATCAAATTGGAAAAATCGTGGTCACTGGCCAGTTTATGGCTTAAATTATGGTCATATTGTTTTATGTTTTACGTTCAAATTGTACAGTGTGAAAGGACTCATTAAATTACTTTATCAACACTGCTTAGACATTAACTTTTATTTTTTAAACATGCTTAACTTTGAAATTTAGTTTTAATTTTTATTCAAGTTTTCTATTTTTGTAACTGCAGTGTATTTAAATGTGTTAAAGTGTAATACTTGTTTGCTGTATACATTGCCAGAATTTTCCAAAAAAAGTGAATAAATAAATGAAACATTTTTTCTGGTGAGTTCTCAATCAAAAAGTAATTATTATCGTTTTGTACTTAAAAAATCTCTAAATGTAGATTTCAATGTTCTCATAATTACATATTTCGCATTGTATTAAATTCACTATTTAAGTTAACAATACATTCGATTGTGGTTTAGTAAAATATAAAGAAAAGATAAAATTCGAGGTGACACATAATTTTAGGTGTTGAGTTGGCGGCATTTTTTTTTGAAAAATTCGCTGCAAACTACTCTAGTGTTGGAAAACAGTTTTTTTTTCGACGAATTGGAATCGCCATTTGTGTTAGTGATAAGCAATTCTCTAATATAACGGATTAAGATGGAATGGTTACTTATATTATATACATATGAATCATACTATTTCATAGCATGTGAGCTACTTTATAATGTTTATAAATTTAAGCACCCGTAAGTTATCATTTATAAAATACCCTGATAAATAGTGCCTGAATCTGAATCAGTTATATAAACCAAAATAAGCAGATAGTTTGGTTCATTAAGAAAGTAATGTAAAGTAAGGTCCACTCAGTGCCAACAAAAAAATTAGTAAATATATAATAAATACATTTGGATTTTACATCACATTTTCCTTGTTTGTTGAAATTCACTATAATTACAATGTAAGAGATTAGCACTTATAACATTTTTCTACATTAATAATATTAAACAATTTTATTAAAATTTCTTTACATTTTCATTTTATTTCAAATCATTTCAAAATGACTTGTATTGAAAGCTTAAATGAGTAATAAACTGCTTGCAAAACTGAATTTAAGTTCCACCAATGACAGTTTCAATATTAGATGAAGAAAATCAAATAACTTTAAATTGTTTAAATTGAATTGAGAAAGTGAGAATCTGAACAAAAAACTTGCCGAATTCGGTATTGGCGCTATGTTAATAGTTTAATTTTTCTATTTCAAATAATAGTTTCATATTCTTTGTTTCTAACAAATATTTTATTAGGAACTTTAATTAGGAAGTCGTTTAAAGGACTAACTTCACAGTCGTTACCTAAGTCTTCTTACTACCCTAAATTAATCTTTGCTGACAAATTTTATATTTCAGCCAAATTTGCCACTCTAGTCACTACTATGAAATCGGGCATAAGTATTAGAGATTCATATGATTCGTATTTAAGTATTTTTATATATATTCTGTCTCTGCACTTAATTTCAGTGCAAAAATTATCAGTCACGTAAAATCTGCTAACAAAATTATCGCCTACAGATATTTCTTATACTGATTTTTTACTTTAAAAATATATTTTATGTAGCAGGAAAGTGTGTTGTATATAACTCTCTAATTTAGTGATACTACAAAAATATTTCTATTGATTGACATATATAAACAGTATCACTCATTATAATTAGAGGTAACATGAATTACATTTTCCATCAAAATTTTTACTTTAATTAGGAATGTGAATTTGGTGGATGAATACATGAATGAATTTTTTTATTTCAAAAATAAACTTTTTTATTTATATATAGATCCTCTTAATGATTTATATTAGGAAATTTGACAGTGTTCTTCATATTTTCAATTTAAAATTTCTAAGGAATTGTAGTTGTACAAGCTTGAGAATTGTATTATTATCTTCAGGCTAGTTAAGTCAGGGAACTTGAATACTTTTACTCCCTACTAACTAACTTAGTTATATGCAGTGTTAAACTAGATTTCATTCGCATTGTTAGACCATTCACAGTTATTCTATCTCAATTATGATTTTTTCATATTTTATTTTTAACCAATGTTAAGATATTAAATAAGATTAGTTTATACCCCAAAATAAAACTTCTCTACTTACGTTCTTTATCATAGTTAAAGAAATAAATTTTATATAAACAAATTATTAAAACATTACTTTCTGTAAAAATTATTTTATTTTATGTATTTCAAAATTATATTTTCGAAATAATGGATCTTTATGCAATACGAAATAAATAAAGAAGTATGTTATTTATTTTGTAAATACTTATGTAATTTTTGTCTCTACATTATGCATTATTTGAACATATAATAATTAATAATCAAATTCAAAAAATATTAAAAGAAATTAAAAATTAAAATTTATTCAACAAAATTAATATTCAAAAAAATTAACATTTTTTTGAAACTTGTAATTTAACCTCGGTGTCCATGGCCACCAAATCCTCCTTGACTTCCATGTCCAAAGCCTCCCTGGCCACCATGACCACCTTGTCCAAAGCCTCCTTGGCCACCATGACCACCTTGTCCGAAGCCACCCTGACTACCATGTCCGAAACCACCTTGACCAAATCCTCCTTGGCCACCATGACCTCCTTGACCAAAACCGCCATGACCACCTTGACCAAAACCTCCTTGTCCACCATGTCCACCTTGACCAAAACCTCCTTGACCACCATGTCCACCTTGACCAAAGCCGCCATGACCACCATGTTGTCGGGCAAGTCGAGCGCCTACATTATCGTGTTCAAGTCCAGAAGGTATATCTTCTAAACTATGTGATCGCGCCAAAAGAATAGCTCCAAAAAGCGACAATATTAATACGAAAGCGCGCATGATTAACTGTTTATAAGAATAAGAATACTCTTCAAAAATTTGCTGCTTCTTAGGCTTTTATAGTTTTATATTGTATGTTAATTTCTTATTTACTGACATCATAAACTTGTTGAAATTATGTTTATTAGATTTTATGGTGTCCAATTTATTTGGAATTCTGTTATCTTTGCTAAAAAACGAAAAGTTTTGAACGCGTTTGTTTAGTGTTCATTAGAAAAAAAGTATGCAGATTGTTTTATAAACAATTTTAGTTTTTGAATATTCAAATACAATAATTATAATATCTTATAAATTAAAAAAAATAATATGATTGTAATATATGTATTAACAACAAATTAAGTAGTTTTTGGATAAGCATTTTTAATTTAATTGGGAGAAAGTTAAGCTAATATATAGCTGGGTTGGGGATAAACTTAAACATTTATACACTAAAATAACCAATAAGTCAATTAAAATATTCAAAGCTTTGTGGTCGGATCTATATATATTTAAAATTATACTACTATTAACCTAATACAAAAAAAAATAATAATATTTAAATTGTTTATTTTATGAATTTATTATATTTATTACTTCATATATTAAAGTTTGTATTCCAACAAAAAGCGCTTCACAATATATTTACAATATTGTTTACTAACAAAAATAGTTTCAAGTTCTATTAAAAGTTTCTATTTAAGAAGCTAAATAACATCAAAAATTATTATTTAAATAATGTTAAAACTTTGAATTAGATGAATTAAATATATTGTTCTGATCTGTTATTATTACAAAAATGGGTATGGATAACTTAAGGATTCTTTAGTTCTATGGGTACTTTCAAAAATTCATTAATTAAAATTTAAGTCTGGTACATCAAACGTCAAATGATATACAAAACCAGAGTTGCCATTTCCACATTTTTTTTATTTTGTTAAACTACTACAGTTATAAACCATATAGTTTACGGCGAACTTGATCTTTACCTCATTTTCTAACACAGTATGTTCTCCATGTTTTTAATAAAAATAGAAATAAGCATAAGCCATACATAAAAGTGGCATGACAAGCAGGATAAATATGTTCTATAAAATTGCATAAAAATATTTAATGTTGATTGTAATGTCCAAATAAAGATTATAAGGATTTGAGATATTTCTCCTGAAAATAAAAACCTGAAAAGTTATGTTCCAAATGTATACATTTCATTTTAAACTACATTCATAAATGATTTACCCATACCTTATTCAAATATATTTAACAATTTTTTTGTGATTCTATTAACAATAATTTTTTTATATTCCTTTATATGTAAATTAAAAATAAAAGTTTAATTTATTATTTACAAAAATTTACTTACAGAAAACTCTTGCGTTGTGATTCAAATAATCCAATTATGACTGTTACTCGCAAATGTTGGTTAGGTTTTTTTATAATTATTTTCGCATCGCCCGTACTTTTCTTCTTCTTGTTTATTGATCATGCGGTTTCGTATTTAAAAGCGCCGTTTTGGTACTTTTTTCAGAATCAGGTAATATTTATATATAATAAATTTAAGCAAAAGTAATAAAATTACAAATTGTTTGTTTGATTCGTTTTAGGAAATTCCACCTACTTACTTGGAAAAATTTTGTGGATCTATACATAAAGATCTACTTTTGGATGAGATTTGTTTGGAATGGTTTTACAAAGCCACTCATTACTGTGCTCACAAATTGATTACTTCTTCAGAGAATAATCCACATATATTTAGCCTATTTAGCAAAATTTTTAGACGTTCTCATAATAGAAGTGTACAAGGCAATAAATTTCCAATTAGTATAATACCAGATTTATTGTCAACTGAGGAGTGTTCCGTTCTTTTCGCCGATATGGTAGATGATTATATTAATCATGCACCAGTTTATATAGCAACAGGAAAGATAAATTTATGCCTGTGGACTGTATTGCGTATGTTAACTGTTATGCTGATATCGGCAATTGTACTGCTTCTAATCATAAAAATTTTCATCAAGACTGGTAGACATAAGGCCATAAGTTATAC